ACCAGTCACTGTCACGCTCTGCTGTCTACGACTCAACACTGGCTGCAGTATTGGCACCAACCGTAACGGCTTTACGCTGTCATTGCCAATGCGTTTTGAGTTCATGCGGCATTTCATGGTTGAGCACACAAGCGCATCCGAAAGATTTAAGCGGTATTCAATACATGATTTCAGTACTTTGTGCCCCAATCAATTCATATTGCCTATGTTAAATTCTAATTACCGTTTTTAGTGGAGCATTCCATCCATTCTGATACACCCTTTTCTGAAAGTCTCTTCTTTTGCTGCCCTTGTCCTGAATTGCTTTCTGCTAATTATTGGCAAAGATTCAATGAGTTTTCTTGTGTTAATGTGATTTTGATTGTTTATGTATTACTTCCTCACTCAGCGCCCTAAGGCCAAAAGTCATCTTCACCTGCCTATCAGGAGTACTGCACCCCACCCTACTTTAACAAAACGCCCGGTCTGTTTTCGACCGGGTGGTGTTGATGATCTCATAAATCCTGATTTTGCTATTCTTAAATTACCGTATCAGACAATATGAGGTTGCTCCGTGAAAAATTCTTTGTGGTGGCCGATGTACTAACAGTGAGGCGGAGCCCGTCTGCATAGCGGGAGGTCCGGATACATGAGACTATAAATACCTCAACGTGCATCCACATTAGTCGAGTCGGTGGGTGGCCTGCAGTAGCATTGGCATCAATCACCCCCCGGCAAGGTATTTCTTGCCTGTTGCCCATATGACAGGCATGAACTTTGCGACCTACCACCACGATGCATTCCATTCGCAGGAGGTATGATCTCCAGGTTTGGAGCTACGGCGATGTGGGAGTGATGGTTTATCGCAAGCAGGCACACCCTCCTGTTCCCACACTTTGAGACTGTTTGCTTTGTGGTTCTCCTATGTGGAGTGTGATGATTCAGTAGTTTCGAGTGCTCAGGGACGTTTGAGTTTGTGGAGCTCTCGGTAACTTTAGTTTAATCCAGTGCGAGCACCGCACAAGTGTCAAAACTGGGGAATAGCTGCAGCTAGAAATGGAGTCGAAAGCAACCAAGAAATTGTCACGCATGCACCTAGTTTGCCAAGAACTTATTGTTACCGACAAAAGGAATGTTTATGCCATGACGATTATTAGGTAAATTCACCATGTTTCGAATTGGCTGAGTTGGACGCCTGTTAGGTGATAGGATGGCTTTCACTAACTGCACCGAGCACTGCAACCGATGGCGCTGCCTGCCATCCATGCTTCGAGGTCCTAAACACTGAACTGGGAGACAGTGGTTTCACAAAATTCGGAGGGTGTTTGCTGAAGTGGTGATCATGAATGGGGCTTATGGTAGAAGCACACTAAAATAAGTCGTCTCTGTCGGATCATTAGCCCACCAGTCTTGCAAACTCCCAACTGCGTGAACATCGACCTGGGGCGACAATGTTTCGGTAGCCGTTGGCCCCCTACTTCTGAATGCTCAGGGTGGAGGCTGATGGAGAACTGCCGTCTCTACGCTTAACAGCCAGCGTCCAGGCGCAAGTGATGCACATCTGGCCTTTAGTGCGATAGAACCGCTGAGGTTGCAGCTACCTGATGCAATAACGCTCATGTAAAAAGCACGTGACCTACACCGACGGGTAGCACATCGCAAAACTGTGGTTCGGGTAACTACAACGTTGGTGGGCTTCAGTGCCGCGGCCCACCCACCAACACAGCGTGAAAGACATCATTAAAGCGGTTGCGTGCACATATATGCAAGAGACGTAGTGCAAACCAGTTCGAATTTGGCGTTTGCATCCGCACACGTGACGCCTACCAGCGATTGGTTGGAAGCGGGATAAGTTTGTGAAAAAGCAGCCACACAAGGCGGCGGTGATGACGTCGCCGCGCGCCCTGGGTGGCCTTCAGAGGACGAATTATTGCCCGATGTCGCGACACGCGTCGACCGCGGAGGGCCAAAACAGGAACCACCCAAGAGACACGTTTTAATGAGAACACACGCCTTGTGAACTGTACAACCTGTGAGGTCTCACACACACACTGCGGACGCCAAAAATATCAACCTGTGGGTACTGATAACAAAATCTCTAAAAGGCCCTATATACGTTGAATCATTTGTCAGGCTTAACCAGTTTAATTGACGTTAGAACTGCCCATACCACTTGTTTGCCAATGACATGGACATTAAAAACCTTAAAAAGTGAAGATCATGCCACTTATTGTCATTAATAACCACAATCATTAGATCCACTAGAGTAGCTCCATTCCTCGGCTCAGAAGTGGTTCTGGCTCACACAAGACACATGCTGTAGCCAAATAACAACTATCACGCCAAGGCACCCAATATGTCTGCTTAGCCGAAACAAGGCCAATTGCAATGAAACGAGGCAATAAATAGACACTCGGGACCCAGGCAGACCGACAAGACACGTGTCTTTGCTGTGACAGCTTCCATGTTTCCTTCAAGGCTACAAGACTAAGAGACAAGTTGTCAAGAGCCATGATTGGCAAGATAGGCTTCGTGACGTTTCGCCTGAGCGTCATAAAGCTTCTGTAGTTTCTTCAGTTGGGTCTTTGTGATTTCCTTTCCGGCGCTGTCATGTGTTGGCATGCCCTAGAATCAAACAAAAACAAATTCTTGCATTCCAGCTTGAAGGTTAAGCTACCGGTCAAATCACTACATAATCAACTCACAAAACAATAGCAAATCTTGGAGCATCCTAACAAAATTATGCTTATAGCTTGGGTGATGCATCTGTGAAACTTAACCCCCCAAAAAACCTGACTTTAGAATGCCCAAATATTAATTTACACACATGAGTTCTCGAGACGTTTGAGTGTGAACTCAAGATTATGCGTAATGTTGCCAAGGATGCTTTACTTAAATAACTAAATATTACTTGCCCCCTAGACTACTTCTCTTAATTGAAAAGGGACTCCAAACGCGCCGTTGAAAACAGCGATAAAAAAGGGGTTGTTAGCGCAAAAAACCACATCCACGAAGGCACTAATATGCGTACTGCACAAAAGTGGCAAGTCGTTATCATTGTCGTGAATCACGCCCTTCGTTACGCAATGTAACGTTCAAGGGAATAAGCATTCCTGGCATCGGTAACACCAATGTAGGATGCTAGAATTAATTTAAGTGAAATTCACTTCTGAAGGTGCCTACACTCAATTGTGATGAAATGCATTCGAAGCTGAGACGAATAGCGGGCCAACAGGTGCACTGTTTGACTGTGAAAACTGAGAGAGTGGTGAAGTGAGGCTGAAGGCGACATTGGACGCCTACACAAGCAGCATGACCTGCCAGCGAGGGTTTTATACAAATTTAAAAAAAGTAACCACCGAGTTGTAAAGTGTGTGTGTGTGTGTCACAGATGCTACTGTACGTAGGATCTCTTTTCATTCTTGGTGAAGTGGCTTTACGCATCACGACAATTTAGAAGGCTTGAATTCACACGGGTTTCGTTTGGCTTCGGATGTCCGAACTGCATTAATAAGGTGCCGGAATTCCCAGAAAACCTTGGCTGCCTCTACCTCCACACAAGCGTGCGTGTGTGGTCCTGCATTGGGCAAGGTATTTCACACTAAACTAAGCAAAGATAACAGAACCAACTTTTGCAAAAGTGCGCCAAATTAAAAGTAAGCACTATGAAACCCGAATCCTGGACTTCTTGAGATAAACAAGAGTATGCGCCCTGCACGTGTGACTGAACAGCAGGATCCTTAGACGGATTAACAATTTCCGAAAGTTCGCCTCGATTTTAAGCCGTTTCAAAACCTCCCATGCCTAACAACAAACCACGAAGACTAGAAGAGCCTGGTTGTACGATGGAGGATAGATCCAACCTGCCCCAAGGGGTTACTTGTCAGACTATTTAAAATGCAAGCGGGAGGATGCGTCAAGAGGAAACCTCACAAAGCAAGTAGGAGTACGCAACATTGACAGTGTTGGAAACTGCGCACACGCTTGGTGGTGCACTAAAACAATGCACGGCCATTACGCACTAGCCAACGCAAAACAATTTGGAGGGGAACAGCAATCAGAATGAAATTAGGTTTTGGTCGTATTTGGTAAACAAAGGTAGCTTCCGATTTCGCATAACATTACACTTTATATTGAGGTGACCATCGAGACTTCCTAAAAGGGTAAGTGCGTCATTTTAAAGGGCGCTTTCAAGTGGACTTTAGTTGATCTCATTTTGATTTGAGACAATGTCGACAGGTTGCATGACTTGTGTCACATGGTGTAATGGTCAGAAAGAAAAAGTCACGAAAGACCAGCGGCTACTGAAGTTGAACTTAAAAGAAGGCTCAGCCAATCGTAATGCGGTCCCACGTCGGTGATTTATAATACGAGGAATTACATCAACGTGCATCTAGGTTTTATAAAAAAATAATTTAAACCAACCTTGTCGTCAAAGGCGGAGTATTTGTCGGTCTGGCTGCGGAACATTTCGGATGGGGGCAGTCTAGCGGTGTCTTCCTTGATTTGTGCTCGCTGCGCTTTTAAAGCTGCTTTTTCTGCTTCCTTCTGCAAAAGCAAACGATTGTTTAGGGCAAAACAACTAAGTATACCATCAATTATAAATGTACCGAAATTTGCCGTCGACAGCATCAAATGAACCAGCGATCAAGTATCTATATGCTCGCTACTAACAAAACAAGGGTAGCATATAGAAAAGAATTCAAAAAACCGATTATGTCAACCTAATGGGAAACGCTGAACATGCGGTCTATTGGCTTGGCATGGCGGAAGTCAAAAGAGGAGTGTGAACTCAATTTAGGTTCTAAAGTCGGATTTAGTACAATATGGAAATGAGACGTAACAGTGTAGATATCCCTCACATAATAATAAGAATAATCGAGGTTTTACTAGCGACTACGAAGGAGTACCACAGACAAAAATAATGGATTTACATGCGATGTGGACAAACGTAAATGTTAATACGAATAAAATATAGCCATTGCTGACAATATTATCACCTCGGCTTTTTCGCGTTTCTCAGAAGCCAGCAGTTTTGCATCAACAAGACCAACAGCGGGAAGATCTGCCTTGTCAGTGGCCAAGTCGGTCCTGTCCTGTAAGCGAACGCCACACGCGGGGAAGTAGTTGTCACGAAGCCTATCACAGGCGACCAACAACTTGGCACTCAGCCCAGCTGACTTGGCCGCTGGAGACTTGGCGTAGACGCGGACGGACTGGCGCAAGTCGGCTGCGGCGTAGAGCAAGCGGGCCACCACCGGCCACGCGTCCTCCTCCAACGCTGAGGGGTGACCATTTATGAGCTCTTTCAGCCGACTCTCCTCCCTAACGGTGTGTTTTAGGGCGCAGTTGAAAACCGCTGGATAGGAGAAAAAACGCGGTCAGATACGAGCAGAAACCCGCTAAAATGAGGTCACTGTGAACAGGCTGCAGAAGAAGCATGTCAAATAAGCACCTGCAGCCGTCCTCAATTGGGGATGCCCAGTTCACTATGCAGTCTCGGACATGATAACATGCACCCTCGTAAACCCTCACACCATATCATGCGCTGTCTACAGGGCCAATTCGAACTGTTTGAGTTAAAAATAGGCGGTATTCATGAGCGAGGCAATGACCAAAAAGGTTAGGTTCCACACGAAGTCTCTTAAGTGTTTTGTCATCTTTCAGGAGACCTATTTACTACGTTAGTAAGATTATGTTGATGGATCTCCAGAGTAAGTCGCTGAAGAAATTTTTGGACTTAAAACTTCTACGGGACTGCATTGTGAAGGCGTGCGCGCTCATTCCGTGCCATTCGAATATCAAGGAAGCGCATTAAGTCACCATTCAGATGACAGTTTCGATGGAGTAATATTTGAGTGCGATGGGACTATCTTTCTGTGCGCATAATGTCCTCACATTAAATCTTCAAATGTTAAGTAAAAGCGCATAACGAGGGTACCTGAAGGGTCTGCACTTGCGCCCCTACCGTAGTTTTAATTTGTCAGTTAACGAATAAATCACAATTCGAGTTTACGTCGATAGAGAAAACGAGTTCGATTTAGCTGTTAGCTGAGCGTCGAAGCCGAATACATGAATGGTATAAATTAACAAGACTTGTGCAATTAGCTGCAATCATAACAAAGCACTTAATGGTGTTATTTAAACTCATCATCGAATTTGACACCTCGATATAACATGGCGGAATCGCTACATTTGCGTCCCCGTAGACCAATTGCTCCGAACACAACGGCTGCGCGATGCCTATCAGCATAATAAAACTGCGTTTTTCAAACAGCAAGCGATTTACTGTCTTCAATGATATTGCCACCGAACTCAACTCGATCCCGATGTGATCAGAAATGAATTCGCACATTTAAAAACAGTATGCAGAGGCAAACTACTGCGCCTTTTGACGTCGAGGCCTTAGTACCACCCTTTAATGCATCTGCTCTGACAGAATAAACTCCCTTCTATCCACTCTAACCACTAACCAGCTAACAGGGTATGTGGTGTCATTAATACCTAAAAGATTGTGAGAAAAGAGTTTTGGCACTATGGCTGACTACTAAGATACGCATTGACTTCGATTACTTTTCTACCCTTAGGACCTAGACTCTGAAATAAGCAAACGCAGAACATAACAATTAAGTCGTTTTCTGCTAACAACGTTTTCTTTGTTATAATAAAGTAAGATACTTTGTGTAATTATAGTTAGGATCCTGTGTTTTTTGTTGGTGAATTTTGGCCAGTGTCCAATAAAGAGTTGAAGTTCTCTTATACCACCATCAACCTCCTGATCATGCAATAGTGTACCATTTAAGTAAAAAATACGTTTAAGTGCAACGAAAATAAAGTTGTGGACTTTCAGTACAGTGACTCAATGGGCACCAACACCGACTTGTGATGTAAATGTTAGGTAGGTGAACAGAGAAATGTCCGTTTTTTGCTTTTAATTGTGCTTATTAAAATTATAGATTTTGGTGTTTCTCTAACTAAGTTACGTCGACTTCAGTGAGCCTTTTGGTTACGAATAAATATCCTCATAATCATGAATACAAGTCCTGCGAGCGAGCACTACTTTTGGAAAAAAGTAACATTTACTTCAAAATAGTGTTTCGCGTTTTGTAGCGACAGAAGTCGTCTGGGATGTACGTAGCTTGGAGGTGCCATGAGAGAAGCATTGTACTAGTGGCTAAGATGAAAACCAGCTTGAAAGAGTGGACAGTGATAGAGGTGATGGCATTTCTGACTGATTCCAGCTTCCGGATTTGCTTTGGGCCAAATTAAAGTTGCTGACCACATAAGGCAAAAAAGGTTAAATCAAAACAACCCCATGAACTGAAGACACTCAGCCAGGCATAAAGTCAAGTTTTACTAAGGGAAACTGTTGGAAATGGGCTGCCACATAAGACGGCGGGTGAAAGCAGTATACTGCGTGCTAGCAAACGTGTGTCGTGTACGAAGGTTGCACAAACGGTAGGCCACGTTGAATGTGTGCAATGACCTTTAAAAGAGGTCACGAATTACGAATGTGCTAGAGTGCTAGTCTCAAAACACTCGCAACGCACAAAGTTTGCATAAAGAAACCTACCGGTTAAGAGCAATCAACATGCTGATCGCCGATAGGCAGAGCATGATACATTAACACGTGTACGAGAGAAGTAAAGGGGTTCATAGCATCACACAGGCACATAAACGTGTGGAAGGCAGGAAGCAGGTCTTGATCTGCGGTCGCACACCCAGTAGTGCAACCATAACAACATAAAAAAAGAGAACGTACCTAAGGCATCGTTGGGCAGGCTAGTTAAATCCAGGTTGAATTCCTTCCTCAAATAGGCTTCGAAGTTTCTCACAATAGCATCCACTTCATTGGCTGCAAAGATGAACAAATATATTATTAGAGCCACAAAGGAATATGGAAAGATTTAGTTGTGTTAGACCCCTCGGGTTGCCTACACTTAGAGTCGTGGCATCATTAAAAAATGTCACACCTTACCAGCACTGAGATCGACCTCGACGGTGTAGAATTACAAAATTAACAAATCCAGCAAATGCACTGGTGCAATCGAAGATGGAATCATCCAGTAGGGGCCACACCGGGTAGGCCGAAATCCTTACTGACACCACAAACGATGAAACGCGTTACAGTGAGGTCAGTACCGCAAATAAGCAATCCAAAGTAAAAATGCACGCCTAGTGCGGTGAAAGAAGCCGTGGAGATGTATCTCGATAACTTAAGCCGATAATGCACTCCTACCACAGACTTTGATGGCCCTTTAAAGTGCAAAATGCCGGTATGTAGGCAACTTTGTGGCAACGGTTTCGTGCACACTTGAGAGAAGACTGCAACTGTATTATGATTAGATTTTGTTTAACGACTAGCTCGAAGTTCTCGTTTTATCATTTTTGAACAAGTTGACAGACGACTTCACCGCCAAATGTATCGGAGTAATTTACGAAGCGGCTCGACAAGATCGTGGTTCTTTTCATTAAATGAGTATCTCTAAGTGCGTCGAATACGTCGCCAGCGATACAAAAGACAATGGCAAATTTTTGACCTCCAAAGTCGTAGCTACCTGAGGAGGCAGATCATGAGTTACTTTAAGATAATCACTAGAATGGAAAAAACAAGGACCAAGAAAAGAAGCTCTGAGGTTGGATGTACGTGCTAAGCCGCGGTCCTTTGCAAGTAGTTATTACAAGTGACTTGGCGCATTTCCAGTCCAAATATGTGTAAATGATGTTAGTGAATGACTTAAGGTAATAAATGCACTTGTTTATCCAATAAAAATCCAAATTGCCAATCATACTAGTGCTGATTTTACTTGGCGTCGATGGAATTAAACTTCGATGACTTCAAGGCTAACCATTTATACTACTGCAGCTTTTTTAAAAAAAATAAGGGAACCAGTTGAATGCTTCGGTATTGTTGGCTTATTAAGACAATTGTGGACATGAGCCGTTTCGATTCAGAAATACTGATACCTAAAAACTATCAGCAAATCTCGCCTCACTGCACCTTGGTATGTCTTTTCAGTTGAAAATCGCCATACCTAACTAATTTGCAGTTTCATTAACCAGATAATAGGGTGTTTAAAAAAATATGTTAACGCTGAAAAGTCCTGATTACCGTTTGCCGCCGCGTCCTGCAAATCGCTTATAAACTGATTGCACGCTAACAAGGCACCATGAAGGGCTGCTGCGAGAACCTCCACCTTTGGTGCGTCCATGGAAACCCAAACAGGTTTGCTGGCAGCCTTAACAACTTGATCTACCGTGATCGGCGGAGGTCCACCACCTCCCCTGCCGACGGTTGTCCAGGCCTTTGCGACACCCGTGCCATCAGCGGCACCAAACACTCCCAGCAGGCGGAGGATGAATGCAGCAATTGCGTAGGACTGGTGCGCTCGCGGAATTAAGTGCGGCGAGCTCGAGGCGAGGGGCTGGGAGCACTCGGCCTGGTTTGAGGCGTTGATCAACTCCCGGATGGCTGACATTGCTCGGCGCGTGTCAATTGAGTCTGGGCAAATACAAAATAGGTCGGGTGTGGTTGGTCAAAACCATGCAGAATCATAGAGAGTACCTGCAGTGCAAATGGATGAGGAATGTGGCTGAAAAGCAATTATGAGAGCCATTGCGGTCGGACAAGTGCATTGATGTACTAATGACGACTAGGAAAGTTAGACTTAAGGTCTGGTTTAAAATGAAAGGTAAATCAAACATGCAATGCATTTCTATCAATAAAATCTGACAACAATTGGAGGATTTTGTTCATAATAAAAAAACATGGTGAAATGACGTAGTGCTGCTTAACACGGGTGAAACAATGCAGGGAGGTGTTTTTGACCTTCTTTTATAAAGCATTCGGAGGGCCTGAAGCTGCCTATCAGCATCATAAAACTGCGTTTTTCAAACAGCAAGCGATTTACTGTCTTCAATGATACTGCCACCGAACTCAACTCGATCCCGATGTGATCAGAAATGAATTCGCACATTTAAAAACAGTATGCAGAGGCAAACTACTGCGCCTTTTGACGTCGAGGCCTTAGTACCACCCTTTAATGCATCTGCTCTGACAGAATAAACTCCCTTCTATCCACTCTAACCACTAACCAGCTAACAGGGCATGTGGTGTCATCAATAGCCAACATTTTAAAAATTAGAGCAATTGATTATAATGTCTGGAGATATTTGGCCCCTAGTGAAGACTTAATTATAACTAATCTAGTTTCTTTAGGCTCTGAACCTCACAAAATAATCACATGCAGCTCATGATCAGCCCATGACGACGCCTGAACTGTTGGACGGGCAGGCATGACTTAGTAAGATATCGGAACCTTTCGTTTATCTAGGCCATGCAGAGGAAACATCTACATTCTTTGAAAGATGGTTATCCATAAGAACCATGAAACAATGGACAGGAGGGAGAGAAACGTGTGATTGACGTGAAGTGAACGACACGTGCACGTGTATGAGGAGCAAAGCCAGGAACTAAGGAGAACAACAGCGAAGTTTACGGCCGACGACCAAAATTACGTTGATATGAGTACCATGAGTACAGGTAACACAAAAATGCCCACTTCTACATGTCGTAAAAACTAGTCAAAATCACCCAGTACCGTTTTAGCAATGATAAATATAACATTAAAACGGATAATACTTCTCTACTCATTATTAATTTTAAAAAAAAACTAAATCTTTACTGTATCGGAAATATCGAATAGTGCCTGGTTTAAAGCGCAGACTTAATGGCCCTGATTTAATCAAAAGGGATGTTACAAATAGAGAAAATGATATACGCATTGTGTGCACGAGTGGTGTCTTACCACAAAGTGCCTCAAAAACTTCTCTCTCGGCAACGGCAAGGGCTTCGGAAAGATTGAGGGCTTCTGGGAGTTCATCATTGGTGTCTGGTTTAGCAGAAGAGAGCAGTCGCAGGGTGTGTGAGACGTTGAAAAGAAAGTCCTACGAGAAGATACAAAACAACTTTCGTCCAATAAATAAAGTAGATCAGGTTATATATAAGTTATAGTGAGAGGTCGCTATTGTTAATATACACCAGATTTGAAATTTATTACTAAATTAAAGCCTTAACATTATCAGAAAACCTCGTTAGACAGGAGTTTTTGTTCATTGGTTTGGTGGCATTTAGTTATCCCACTTAAGTTACAGATTCTCGCAAGAACTTCAACCTGTGCTGCACGTACGTTAAAGAGTTTTGATTACTTTTGTCAATCTAATCAATTGTTGCGCTTTCACGAGACTTGGTTGAACGAAGACGAAAAATAGAATTTTGAACCTCACTGCTTGACGTTTGGGGTGCCACTTCGCCCAAAGCGGCGCTCTTCTTCAGCACTGGATGCAAAATGTTAAGATCGTGGATAGGAAGTTGCGTGGCAGCATTACGAGCAAACAGCAAGGGCTTTTGACTGCTGCCTTTAAAACCTGGCACACACAAGCCAATGCCTTCAAAGACGGCCAGGTATTCAGCGTGGTCTGATTAATTGCCTTATGGAACACAGACTGCTGGTGTGCAGTAATGTGGAAATAAAGGCCACACTTTGGTGCTTCTGACAAGTTAACACAGTTGTTCCGATGTTGAATTTTATCCCTTTTAGGTTTGGATGGAGAGCTAGGCATGTGGTGCAGTGACAAACTCAAAACACCCATCGACCAATATGCTCAACGGAGAGATTTTATCCACTAGAAGCTGATAACGAGACATGAAATCTGAAGTAGTTCGTACGGATTCAACACACAGGACAAATGGAACATAGGACAAGAACTAAAATAATGGATTGTCCCTAGTTTTGTGTCATTATTTGACATGTGTTTCTCCTTGTGATCCTTAAAAAGTTGACTTAGCGACCAAATCGACAGCACCTAATAACCGGAGAATAGTACTGAGGTTTGAGCAACTATAGCTTCGCTTGGCAATTTAACTGACAAAACTGTTGTGGCAGTCAACCCAATAAGTATAACCATTGGGATGCATATTCATCCAAGTGAGTGATTGCCACCAAGCCGTAAGAATAAGCAGCCGTAGCAGAATTCGAAAAAGTAACAAGCAGAACTATAGCATTATCATGTTAACACAGTAAAGCCATGCAAGGCATAGCCGATAACGGGGTTCCGAGACATGCAAGTTAGTTCTGGGTCGCTCTGTGGTCAAGTGAAAAAAGCTGAAGCTAAACTTGCACTGATTTCATTCACCTGAGTAACACTTTGGCAGCGCCGAAACGCATTTAGTAGGTAAATAAATAAGCAAACAAGATATTAATTTTGTTAAAGCATTGTAGGTTGGTGACAAAAAACCTACGCTGACAGTTTTGTTGAAGGCCGAAGCCTGATTCATTGTCTCAGCGCCATAGTCCAGGGTGTCCCGCCAACTGTGGAGAAGAAAGGCGAAGCGAAGTTCACGAGCTGAGTACTGCTTCAAGGCATCCTGAATTGTGATGAAGTTCTTCAGTGACTTAGACATTTTGCATCCGCTGATGGTCAAGTGGCCGGCGTGAAGGAAATAATTCACCCAATGAGAATGGCCAAAGAAAGCCTGAAATTAAAGTGGTTAAGTGATTTCACCATTACACATATGAAACAAATAAGTTGTTTGAAGAGGAAGAAATTAATGTCCCTCGGAACTAATGAGCTAGAGCCTAGAACTTGTATATTATATCTGAATGGTTTAACTAAAAAGCCTTTCACATGATGAGTTTTAATGTTTGGTGCTCGATTATTGATAAAATGAGGGCATTTAAGGCAAATATACTACACAACTTCGCAGTTGAAAGTGAGAGGAACTTTCTAAATTAGTAAGGTAGTTAAGTCAAAATTTTCCCAACAGAAATGGGATGTTCAATCGAAAAATCTGCAAACATTCGACAAAGTACGCCATGGACTGTCTGTTGACAACAATTTTTTCCAGACAGTACCCCACCGGATTTGAGCTTCTGCCCGTTCACATGAGCTTAAGTCTAGGTGCTGTTTGCATTGGCTAGAGCCCGCATTACGACTTCGAAGATGGGAACAAACACATCCTCAGGTTGCTCCTACACAAAATATATAATTTTTAGATTTGGAATAATACCATGGATCAAGATAGAGCAAAGCTTTTAGTAAAGGGTACTTGGTGATGGTGCCGCTTAGATTTATTGTGAAATGCGACAAAGTGTGCACGACAAGGTATCAAAATTCCTATCTAGTAATAACAATAAGCTCACCTCAGCCTGTGCTAGTTCGTTGTCATGATGGGGGAACTTCAAGTCAACACCGCCGGTGTGAATGTCCAGAGACTCCCCGAACGCATCACTAGCCATGACAGAGCACTCAATATGCCAGCCAGGACGTCCTTGTCCCCATGGCGAGGGCCACGAGGGCTCACCGGGCTTGGAAGCTTTCCAGAGGGCGAAATCACTGAAGGTCTGTTTCTCCGTCTCGGCCGCTGAGAGATCACCTTCCCCTGATGCAAGCTTTGCAACATCGCCATAAGCCGTCGGTACCAGCTTCGCGTAGAAATGACCCTCGGTGTTAGCAAACTTTTTTGTGTTGAAGTATACCGAGCCGGACTCAACAACATACCTTATAAATCAACATGGCAATTTTAGTCAGCATGGAAAAGCCGAAAGTGAAGAATGTAACATGGTATGACGCTGGCCATAGATAAAGACCGTACTACACATTAAAACATTGGATTCATCAGCTATCTAAAAATTGGCAAAAACAATTTCAGGATTTGAAATAAAATTCGAGGTTGAATAACGGGAGTTTAACCATTAAGTTCTGTCTAGAAATAAAAATAATAGCCTCAACATCCTAGTCCCAATTATTGGCACGGCGATTGGTGCTTCATAAATTATTATTAAATCCGGAACTTCTGAAAATAAAGATATTTGGCAATGTGAGATTGTACATTTTAATAACTGGACATCAGAATAGAATTATGGTTTCAGCTCACCTTAAGAGAAGTTTTGAGATTATTTTCGCTGATATGAAAAATATAACAATAAAGCAGATTACAAGGCAAGTAGTTATTTTTCAAGTAGTGCTGCCAAGTAACATATTCCGGTCGCAGCTTCGTGAAGAAGCTTTCAGTTAATGTAACGGGAGAGCTGGTCATAAAATTCGTGTTTCAATTGCGAACTACAATGCTATTAGTGCTTCACTTTCACTTCCCTTTCCAACACCCATTATCTCTTGTAGTACTACCTATTTCTGTGATAAGCATTGCTAGAAGACTGTTTGTTTGTTCAACAAACACTGGATATGATAACTTACGCAAACCCATTGTCGATGATTGTCTGAATATAGGCAACGATCGGTCCAATATACTCACTAACGCGAGTCAATTTGTCAGCATCGAGAACCTAAATAAGTAAAACAGCTCATGGAAGATTAAAAAAACCAGTGTTGAAAACTAAATTGAAAGCCTACATTCAGAGCTCGCATGTCGCTGTGAAATTCTTGCTCCATACGACGTGGGAGAGATTCGAAAATCTTGTAATCACAAATAGACGAGCCATGTTTGGAATCCAAGTAGGCAGCCAGCGCATCCTGGGCGCCGGTGAGCAAACTGGTAACGGAGGTGCGGGCTGTAAGCAGCATACGAAGGCGTTCTGCTTCCCGTTTGAGAAACACGCGTTGGTCCATTTCTGGGTGCGACTTCGATTTCTCGTCCATCATCTGTAATGCACAAAAATAATCCGGGCGATTTTCAACCAAGACAAGTAGGTGTATTACACCACACTTGCCTTAATTGCAGACCGAATATCCTCTTTGACCTCCTTGAGAGAAGAGACATCCTCAAAGTACCTTTCGATGAGATAGTTCTGACGAGCTCGTTTGATAATCTGATATTTATTTTATCTTTCGAAATAGGCCGAACCTTGTCGTCAATATCCGTAATGTTCATTACATATTTGACTTTAAAGCCAAAATAATCAGCGAGAACGCGCCGAATAATATCGAACGATATGTATGACCTATTACAAATTAGTAAATCGTGGCTAATTAGGATTGCCTTGCATGACCCATGTGGGATGAATCATAAACAGTCGGGCCACAGCAGTACCACGAAACTTCCTTGCCTCGCTTCGGAACAAACAAAACCTGTGAAGTTCCGCAAGATTTCGGCAATTACCTCATACTTACTTTGCTGTTCGTAAGACTATTATAAAGCTTCAGAGGGGGCAAATCAGCCTTTACATCGGGTGTGGGCAAATTCCACGTGGGTGCAGAGCGTCTCTCCATTATGCCTAGTTTTTGATTAAATTGAGATAAAAACATACCAGTGGTTGACACGAGACGTAATACTTCAGGTAAAACAAAACTTGAATACAGAGGCCTTAGTCTCCGAAATGTTGACCAGGTGCGCATACAGCGA